AGAAAAGCCCCCACGCTTGGAGACAGGACACAGAGGGAAAGAGCTGTCACTGTAAAAAGCGGGGTTCAGCGTGTCCTTCCCCGGTGGTGGGCAGTGTCTGCGGGCCACCCCTGAGCTCTCCGGGCACCTCAGTGACTGCCCCGCCTCAGACGTGGGCCAGGATCTCTTTCTGGCCTTCATGGAGCACATCAAACTGGGAACTTGTCTTTCCTTCTGTTTTTCTCTTTTTTCACTTTCCTTTTAATCTCAACTGCAAGAGTCGGACACGACCGAAGCGACTTAGCACACATGCAAAAGGTGGAGCTGCTGTCCAGTTGACGGCACCCGGTCCATCATGGATCCACACGCAGGTCCTTGGCTTGCTGCTCGGTCTCCAGGCCCTTTCCTCCCTTCCCCTGCCCCCTCAGCAAAGGGCAGCCCTTCCAAGTGTTTCCCGGACACCGTCTGACGGCGTGTGCTCAGGCAGACTGGTCCTCTATGTTTTGTCTGCATGTCATTTCAATTAACGTAAACAGCGCTGCGTAGTAGCTCACATGCTTTCTCTTACTTTTTCCATTCGGCTCAGGGTTTGGAAGACCCATCTGCGCGGCTGTCTCCTTGGTTCGAACCATGGCTGGGTTTCCACCCGGCACATCTTACGCCCCCGCGCCAGCCCCCACCCCACCTCTGGCCATGCCCCTTGCAGCAGGGGTGCGCAGAGCCCCGCTGGGCTGTTGCCGGCAGTGACCACACACACGCAGGGTGGGCACCCGGGTCAGTCGGCCGACGTCTCAACAGCACAGCTGCCACGGTCTGCGTGCCCACGCGGAGGCCAGGAGGAGTGCGGTACACACGTCCCAACCAAGGCTGGCCTTGCTTTTGCACAAGTGACGCGTGCGATGACAACAAAAGTCATACTTACACCAGCAGCTGGCCGCCAGAGGGCCGGCCGTGCGCCGGGCACGTGTGTCGTCTCCTTCAGCAGCCCTGGAAGGCAGGCCATTCTGAATCCCCATGTTACATCTGAGGAAGGCAAGGCTTGCGCAGAGACTCCCTGCACCCCTTCCCTTGTGCCTCAGCTGGTAAAGAATCTGCCTGCAATGTGGGAGACCTGGGTTCAATCCCTGAGTTGGGAAGATCCCCTGGAGACAGGAAAGGCTACCCACTCCAGTATGCTGGCCTGGAGAATCCCATGGACCGAATAGTCCATGGGGTCACAAAGAGTTGGACACAACTGAGCAACTTTCAGTTCACTTCACTTCCCTGCACCTCAGGTTCCCAAGCCAGAGAAAATGAGGGCCTGGGAAAAGAGCTGGCTTGCAAGGCCACTGGTGAGCCAAACCCACAGGAGAGCAGCCAGCGGCCACCTCACTGCCCTTCTGAGCACCTCCACGCCCCCGGACCAGTGAGGGTGGAGGATAGGTTTTAAAGCCTAGAAAGGACAACGCTTAACCCCAGGCTCTGGGGCACCGCAGTGGGGCTTCAGCCTCCATAGCAGCCTCCTGTCTGTCCACATCCACCACTTCCAAAGCACTGGCTCAGCACCCCACACCCCCTTCCCATTTCAGGGCAAAGGAGAACTTACACTCTTCCCAGGCAAACCTCTTTCCCTGCAAAGAATCGCACCTTCCCCTCTTACAGTACTGGCACCACCGTCGGCTGGAACAGCCCTAGCCTGAGAATTTTTTCAGGGTTTTCTCGGTGGAACGGGCATTACTGGCCCCAGTTTACAGATGGAAGCTGCAGAGACTTGTTCAAGGTCGCACCGGGAGGGAGCCAAGAACCGTGGAGGGCCAGGGTGGGTCCATGGAGCCTCTGGAACCAAGTCAGCTAGCCTCTCTGCAGGACCAGACAGGGTGACAGGAGGCACGTGACTGGGAAGGGAAGCGCTTTGTGCCCGAGACCACCAGCTGTGGGGGCCAGGTCAGCGACAGTGGCTGATCCAGGAGAGGAGGTCAGCCCGCAAGCCAGCTCCACCAGGGGGCTGCGTCAGGGGACACAGAGGTCAGATCCCTTACAGGCCACCAGGCCTCCTCCACATCCTCCACCCCGAAGAAAACCCAGTGCGTCATCCCAAAGGTACCGATATTCCTGCGTCCAGACCACAGTCCCCAGTGGGAGGACCAAACCCTTCCGTGGGTGTCTCCTCCTGCACTGGGACCGCAGGGGTGAATCCAGTTTGGGCTCAGGGGTCTTTCAAAGATAGTCTGTGGCTGAGGTTTGCAGCATCTCCTGAAGACAGACACCTGGGCCCAGGGATGAGTCAAGGGGCCATTTGCAAAGAGGGAACCTGGGCGCCTGACCTGGCCTCTGTGACTGCTGTGGGTGGTGGCCTTGTGACAGGAAGGTCTGGGTCTCAGTTTTCCCATCTGTAATGTGAGGATTTTCTTGAGCTCCAAAATCACTGAGGATGGTGACTGCAGCCATGAAAGGAAAAGACGCTTGCTCCTTGGAGAAAAGCTATGACAAATCTAGATGGCGTATTAAAAAGCAGAGACATCATTTTGCCAACAAAGGTCCGTATAGTCAAAGCTATGGTTTTTCCAGTAGTCATATATGGATGTGAGAGTTGGACTATAAAGAAGGGTAAGTGCCAAATAATTGACGCCTTTGAACTGTGGTGTTGAAGACTCTTGAGAGTCCCTTGGACTGCAAGGAGATCAAACCAGCCAATCCTAAAAGAGATCAACCCCGAATATTCATTGGAAGCACTGACACTGAAGCTGAAGCTCCAATCCTTTGGCCACTGATGAGAAGAGCCGACTCATTGGAAAAGATCCTGATACTGGGAAAGACTGAGGGCAGGAGGAGAAGGGGACGACAGAGGGTGAGATGGTTGGATGGCATCACCGACTCAATGGGCATGAGTTTGAGCAAACGCCGGGATATGGTGAAGGACAGGGAAGCCTGGCGTGCTGCGGTCCACAAAGAGTCAGACATGCTTTAGCAACGGAACAATGATGACCACACGGGGCTACCTGTACCTGCTCTCGGTGAAAGCTGAATAAAATCATGCAGGCCACGCAGCCAGCCCAGAGCGGGTGCTCAGAGCCGCATTCAGCACTGTTCCCTGAGCGCCCCCTCCCATGCTCAGCTCTGGAGACACACGCAACAAGACCACCAGGATGACTGTGCTCAGGGAGAGGATGGTCAAGGCCAACCCAGCACGTGTGGCTCAGCGTGGCAGGAGCCATGACGGGGGAGGACCCGCTGCGGGGCGTCGGGAGAGCACCCACCTTGAGAGCTGACACCAGGTGGGTGAGTGGTGGCCAGTGGACTTGGTGGAAGGCGTGTGCAGAGAAAGCAGGGTGACAGGCCAGGCAGGACCCCTCAGGCCCCTTCCACGAAGGACCGCCCCCTCCTCCAGCCCCACCTCCAGGCAGCCCACATCCAGGGCCTGCCTCTTGCTCCAAACCCACCTCTTTCCCATCCCTTGCACAGGTGCCGACCCTGATAAGCATCTGGCACCCACACCCATCTCAGCATCGACCTCCAGAAGCCAACCCAAGCCAGTCGGCACCAGGCGCAGCCCCAGAAGGCAAAAAAGAGGGTCCCTCCCCACCCCCACCCCCCGCCACTGCCTGGCACTGAGGCCCCCGGCGGGCAGCAGGCGCACGGGGGAGCAGGTGCAAAGTCATGGGGAGGGGGTGGGGAAGCACTGAGGGTGTCAGTGTCGGGGTTCACGCATTTGAGTCACATTGGGGACAAAAGCTGCGCTGAGTGACGGGCCACGGCAAGCCCGTGTGAACCCTGGGGGGCCTCTCTGAGGCTCTCTCCTCTCGGGAGAGCAGGTCAGAGGGACGCTGCAGACCAAGCCTGGAGCCCAGGAGTCTAAGTGGCTGAAGTTCAAGGAAGATGTAACCCGACCAATGTGGGGCTGTCATGTCAAAGTTGGGAAAACTGGGACTTCCCCATGAGTCCATGGGTTAGGATTCCCGTGCTTCCACTGCAGGGGGCACGGGTTCGAGCCCTGGCGGGGGAACAAAGGTCCTGCCTGCCAGGACTCGGAGCCAGAAAAAAAAAAAAAAGCAAGGACCCTGAGTTATGGGATGGAGACTGATGCCCCGCAGGTTCTCACTCCCAGGGACGCAGCCCTCAGGCCCGTGGACGTGGCCCCAAGTAGGAGCTACAAGCAGATGGGGAAAAGGCATAGGGCTGTCCCCCTCCAGGCAGCTCGCACCCCACCCTGCGCCCCGGGCCTCTGATGAGAGTCAGGGATACAGTGCGGATAAGGGAGGACTGCGCCCCGGGGGAACCACAGTGGCAGGGCCCCAGGGCCCCGGGGGGCTCCTGGCTGATCACAGCGGGAACGCAGAGGTGCCTGGGGGAGGCCGGCTCCCTCGGTAGCCTGTCCCGAGAGGCAGGGTCAACTCCAGCAGGGACCCAGGACACGGTGCAGACACCCAGGGGGACTCCCGGAGCCCGAACCGGTGACAGCCACTCTGGTCAAAGCTGACAAGGCGGGATGGCTGTGGCGGGTGGTGGTGAAGGGACTCGAAGGCTCAAGAAACGGGCACCTGGAGTAGACGCACTGCCAGGCCAGAGAGGTCTGGGGAAAGGCCGGGAGGGCAGAGGGGGTGCAGAGACGGAGGGGCTTCTGCACGACCACAACATTCCGGGTGGTCATTCTCCATAAAGAAGGCAGGGCTGACGGCAGGCAGGACAGGCTGCCACGAGCCCGGCCCGCGGATGGCCCTGGAGAAGTGGGACCCAAGCACGCAAGGCCAGGGGGCGGCCCTTTGCCCCCAGGGGCCCGGGCTTTGCAGTCATCGTGATGAGCAGCCGGGCTGGAGGCCGGCCACAGGGTGAGGCCTGCAGAGCGTCCTAACTGAGAGTAAGGAGGTGGGACAGACAAGGGCACTTCTCAGTCGGTGCTAACAGAAGAAATCAAGTACAGATGGACCGACGGCTGGGGGAGGACCCAGCAATAAAAAGTCATGATACCTTTGTAAACAAATGCAGGTTCAGCCACTCGCCCCCGCTCAACAGCCAATAAACTGAAGGGTGGGCTTCGGTGGAGAAGCAAGGACTTTATTCAGAAAAGCCGGCAATCTGGGGAAGTGATAGACTTACATGCAGAGACCTTGCTGAAGATTCTGCTCAGCTGTGACGATTTCTAAAGGGAAAGCGGGCTGCCATCTCAGTTAATCATTAAGGCAGAAGGTCAGATTCTTCATTATTTTTCCACGGCGTGCAGGCCTGCTGACTTCCCTGATCTTCTCTAAACACTGTCTTGCCCTTGTGGTCGGCCTGCAAATTCACTAAGGGGGAGCTGGGGAAGAGTCAGTCCTTCTTTAACTAACTGATTTCTCAGCCCTATTCCTTCTAATCCAGGAAAGGAATCAACAGGTTAGGTAAGACCCCCTCCACCAGCTCTCCCAGCCTCTTAACAGCTCATCCAGCCATTGAATGGAAATGCCATCAGGAGGAGAAGGCAACGGCACCCCACTCCAGTACTCCTGCCAGGAAAATCCCATGGACGGAGGAGCCTGGTGGGCTGCAGTCCATCGGGTCGCTAAGAGTCAGACATGACTGAGCGACTTCACTTTCACTTTTCACTTTCACGCATTGGAGAAGGAAATGGCAACCCACTCCAGTGTTATTGCCTGGAGAGTCCCAAGGACGGCAGAGCCTGGTGGGCTGCCGTCTATGGGGTCGCATAGAGTCGGACACGACTGAAGCGACACAGCAGCAGCAGCAGCAGTCTCATCATGGGGACACGAAGCTAATGACCTCATCAAAACCTAATTAACTCATAAGGTTCCTTCTCTACACATTGATGATCAGATGAATTTTCAGGAGGCACAATTCAATCCATAGCAGAAAGGTTATTACTCCCATTTTCAGGCAAGGAACAAGTACAAAGAATTTAGGTAACTCACCCAATGTCACATGCATGCAATTAGTAGTCAATCATGGTCAGTCTGACATATAAGTACATGCTCTTGACCACTTTCCACGTAGAAGGATGCAGTGTTCTATCATCACTCACCTGGAATCAGGGGAATGTACCTTAAACTCTTCAAAAAGATGAACATATCCTTCCTTGAAGGCATTAAAAAAAGTGCCTTTCTTTATCTTCTTTGTTCAAATCATATGCCCTCTTTTCTCCTTAGACATTAAGTGAAAGTCAGATTCAGACCCTATTGTACAACAACAAAAAATTTTTGCTTAAAAAATAATAAAACACCTATGAATCAACTCTCCTGGTTCTGATTCCATGAGCATCATGTAACCTTCTGTAAATAATGTAGCTTATCCCATTGATTGTCTTTCATAGAAAGTACTGATGCCAAACTTGAGTACTTTGTACTGTATTTTTCATTGTTAAATAACACATCTTTCCAGGTGCTACACATCCATTTGTTGTTCATTTGGTTAGCCTGGGCTAGTCCCCAAGTCTCCTCACCACTGGAAGCAACAACAGAATAGTTTATGAGTCTGAAAAGTTGAAACCTTTTCCAGACTCCTATGCTCCCACTCAGTCTCCATGTTGTCCCTTATTCTTGTTGTCGCATATATTAGCACTCCATTCCTTTAATGGCCAAGTAATATTGCATTGTGTGGATATACCACATTTTACATTTCCAGTATCAGAGTATGAGGATTCTAGTTTCGCCATATCCCTCGTCAACACTGGTTAGCTTATTCTCTATCTTTTAGATATGTATATATTTTTTCGGCCACACTGCACAGCTTATAGGATCTTAGTTGTTCCCCAAACAGGGATTAAACCTGTACCCTTGGCAGTGAAAGCATGGAGTTCTAACCACTGTACTCCCAGAGAAGTCCCTCATTGTGTGTGTGTGTTTTTAATATTGTTTTATTTTATGTTTACTCATTGATGGTTGCACTGGTTCTCTGTTGCTGTGCACAGGCTTTCTCTAGATGTGGTGAGAAGAGGCTACCCTCTAGCTGCGGTGCACCAGTTTCCTATTGTGGTGGCTTCTCTTACTGCGGAACACGGACCCTGGGCACTCGGGCTTCAGCAGTGGTGGCTGGAGTGCTCTAAAGCACAGACTTAGCTGTTGTGGTGCATAGGCTTAGTTGCCCTCTGGCATGTGGGATCTTCCTGCACCAGTGATCGATCTAGTGTCCCTTGCATTGCAAGATGGCTTCTTATCCATTGGACCACAAGGGAAGCCCTGCTCACTGTGGTTATGATCTGTTTCCTTGGTTAGCAACGATGTTGAAAGCTTCTTAATGTAGTTATTGATAATTGCTATATCTTCTTTGAATAAATGTTCCATTGCTTTGTCCATTTAAAAAAAAAAAAAAGGAAATGCCATCAGGACCTGCCCCTGGGCCCCCAGGATGGGAGTAGGCAGGTTTAGACACTAAGTCATGTCCAACTGTTTTGCAATGCCATGGACTGTAGCTGCCAGGCTCCTCTGTCCATGGGACTCTCCAGGCAAGAATACTGGAGTGGGTTGCCATTTCCCTTTCCAGGGGATCTTCCCAACCCAGGGATCGAACCTGAGTCTTTTATGTCTCCTGCATTAGCAGGTGGATTCTTTACCACTGAGCCACCAGGAAAGCCCATTGCATATGTTTAGAAAAGAAGAATGTGAAAAGTGGCCTAGTGATCTCAACTTCATGATTAAGGTCTAAGGAAAACAGGGATAAGCAAACAGAAGAGGTGCCAAAGGAGCTGCTGACACACTGCAGCCCGCTCCCATTCCTGACTCAATCTTCAGACTCGGGACTCAATGACTGAAGAGTCGGCTGATCCCCAAGGAGGAAGGACCCCACAATATACCAGCAAGTACATGTGGCAATATTTTCCCCAGTGCTCCTCCAAAAGGGACCTTGTCCATCTACTTGGCTAATAACCCAAGGGGGAATGCAGAACACCCAAACATTTGGAGGACTGTTGGACATTGGGCCTGAACAGGCTTGGACACCAGGAATGTGATATCTCATGAAGGTGCCTGCTAGATGGGGACCTACAAACATCAGGTAATAAGGGCAGTCCCGTCCGAAGTCCACCTTACATGGAACCACAGGCTCTGCAGACCCGTCAAGAAGTGAACTTTCTGACCCCCAAATGAACACCCAGGGTCAGCATACTTAGCAGCCGGTGCCCTTTCCACATTGGTTTTGGTCTCTGTGGTGAGAGCAATGGGAGAGACTGGAAGGCTTTGAAACCGACCCCTCCTTAGCCAACATCACGAATCAGAAATGGCATCACATCCCAGGAAAGGAGGTGACGGAGATCAGTACCACCTTCAAGGAGATAAAGGATGCGTGTTGGTCCCACCATGCCTCAGGGCAATTCCTGAGGATGCAACCACCTGAGCAAATGCATCCTTTCCTAACCCAGGCGAAAAGAAGGATTAGCATAACGCACATCCAAGATCTCCCTGGATGTCCAGTGGCTAAGACTCCACGCTCCCAATGCAGGGGGCCCAGGGTTCGATCCCTGGTCAGGGAAGTAGATCCCACATACGCAACTAGGAGTTCACATGCTACAACTGAAGATTCTGCATGCCCTAACAAAGACTGAAGATCCGATGTGCTGCAACTAAGCCCTGGCACAGCCAAATACAAACATATTTTTTAAGTAAGAAAGAACGAGGATCCCCATGGGAAGAGCGACAATATACATCTACAGTCCCGGGGGCGGTGCCAGCTCCCCTGGCCCCAGTCATCATACAGACCAGAGAGCCTGTGTCTCTGTCCACAGCAAATCACAGGGATCAGTTTATCAACGGCACTGAGTTGATCGGGCCAAATGAGCAAGGCGGAGCCAGACCACTAAAGGCCTTGGTGAGACACACATGCTCCGGGGGCTGCCTCATCCTCCCCCCTTCTTAGAGGTAGCAGTCAGGGGCGCTCTGGACCACCCCTCCAAAGCAAAGGACAAACTATTACAGCGTGCGCTTCCCGTGACGAAAAAGGAAGCACCACGCCTGGCGGTTTAGATTCTAGAAGCAGCAACCCCCGCTCCCCACAGCCGCTACCCTACCCCCACCCCGGCCACCGCTCCACCCGCATGCTGGGTCACGCAGATGCCGCCAGCTCTGAGTAGGGCTCCACCAGGAACAGGCTCCACGGCGAACACCCCAGCTACACCGTGAGCCCCAAAGGACTCCATTGAGCAGAGGCACCCGGGGCAGGAAAAGATCTCACTGGAGTCTGGTGAAACTTCTGGGGAAACAACCCCCAGAGAACTATGTGGTCCTAATAAAGACAGGACGGGCTTCCCCGTCAGCGGCAAAGAATCTGCCTGCCAGTGCAGGGGACCCAGGCTCGATCCCTGGTCCAGGAAGATCCCAGGTGCCATGGAGCAACAAAGTCTGTGCCCCGCCAACTTACCCAAAGCCTGTGCCCCGCAGCAGGAGAAGCCGCTGCAGTGAGAGGCCCACACAGGACAGCGGCAACAAGGAGGGCCCAGCACGGCCACAGATAAATAAATACATTTCTTTTCCAAAAAAAGAAAGGAATGATGGCCGCCTGGCCAGAGCAGAGGACAGAGAGCAGACGCATTGGAAGCAGGGAGAGCACGCGATCCGCGTCAAGATGCCGGGTCCGCTGCGGAAGGAGACGGGGCGGGCGATGTCAGGTTGGTACCTGGTGGAAGCGGCAGTGCCGCTGACTCAAGGGCACACACGGCGCGCGGAGCGGATAAACTCAGTTTCCTGGGTCACTCAGGCGAAGGCGTCCCCGGGCAGCTGCCCTGCAAGCCCAGAGCTCCACACTTTGGCGGGTCGGCGGGGTTCCGAGTGATGGGGTGAGGGATACGAGAGCCGCGGGGTCGCCGGGCTCTCCGAGGGACGTGTGTTGAGGGCAGGCGGGCAGGCGTGAGAGAGCTGGAGGGGCTGCAGCGTTTGCACCCGAGTCCGGGAAGAGCTCCTTTGTGACGCAGCCTACATTCGGACCAGCTTGACCCCACGGCGCCCACTGACTGTACGGTCACAGCGCGCCTGTGTGCCGCGCCCTTGGCGGGGAGCGGTCAAGCCAGAGCAGCGAGGTCCTGAACCAGAGACCTGACCCGGGACACGAAACAGGCGGAGGAGGCCGGGCATGGGGCACCCCGGGGCCACCCCCTTTGAAGATCCGCACCGGCCAGGTCACGGCTCGCGGGCCCACACTGGGGGGGTCCACCGTGGTCGATGAGAGCGTGCGGCCAGTGTCCTATATCTGAGGGCATGCCTCACTGCTCTGCAGAGTTGGGACCCAAGACCAACAAAATACGGCAACCAAGGGGTAAAGGACAGAGGGGCTCAGGTCAATGACCGGCCCACCCCCAGCCCGCTGGGCGCCCCTCCCCTACCCCAAGGTGTCTCTTGAACAAGGATGACCTCCACTCACATCTGCCCCCCAGGTGTCTCCCCGGCCTTCCCCGTGGACCCAGCTCTTCCACGGCTTCCAGTGGCCCCACTTGGGTGAACTTGAAGTCAGAGGCCAGAGCTCACGTGCGGAGTCGCAGATTCCTGCTTCCTGCACATCCAGAGAGCAGCCCTCTTCTCCTCCATGAAGCCACAGCTTTGGGGTTGCCTGTGTTCACGGGCACCCCCGAGATCTTCACAAAGCAGAGGAGGGAAGGTGCCCACCCAGCCCCATCTCCATTAAATAAGACGTCTATTATGGGAAATTTACACATATCAGGACATCCTAGCCTTTCCAGAAAGTTGGGCTGCCCTCATTTCTGGCTTTCCAGAGGCCCAGGGGGAGGGAGATCCTACCCACTCACTGGTGCCCAGTCAGATGGAGACACCTGAGGGCATCCAGGAGGAGGTGGGGGGCAAGGAGAAGAGGTTGTCTGGAGCCCCGGATCGGGGAGCCCTGCCATCAGCATTCTCGGTGAGAGGAGGGATCTGGGGTGAGGAGTGGAGAGAGGAGAAAGAAACAAGAGAGACACCATGTCTCGGTCCCAAGTTGGACCTCACAGAGCTGACTCTCTCGGGGAAGGGGGGGGGGGGTATCAGGACTCAGCCCCCGGGACCAGGAGCATTTCTGGGTCGCATCCCTGGCCCCATTCCTAAAAGCTGCAGGCGCTCACAATGGAGGTGGCTCCCTGGAGTCCACAGCTGAGTGTGGCTTTACCAAACCCCAACATCAGCAGAACAGCCCCCCCTCCAGCCTACTCAGCAGAGGGCCCTCCTTTCCTGTGATCCTCAGAAGAACCCAAGCAGATGGGCGTTTCCCCATCTTGTAGATAAGCAAATGAAGCTCACCTTCTGTGTCCCCAAGCACCTATGAAGTCAGAAAACACAGAAGAAGAATAAACATGTAGATAAAGAAAGGAGAGCAGAAAGTCAGTTAAGGGTACAATTCCTACAACTCCCATGTTGGCACAGAGCTTCCTAGCTGCCAAAGCAAAAAAGACATGCAGTGTGTTTTAAGATTTATATTGACCATGGTATGGAGCCCTGTCAGGATTTCATGGCTCCCAGGAGTGCAAGCTGTTGGCTGCAGACTAGGCGTGTGCACACTTCCGGGTTGAGACAGAGAAACAAAGTTGTGCTGGGGATTCCATGCCGAGCAACGAAGACAGCCCTGTCTCTGGCAGACTGCGGGCTTCTCTGCTTTAAGCCCCTGGATCTGACGAGGCAAGCAGAGGATCTCAGGGTTCCCTGGCAGCCACGCGACTCTGTGGGGCAGTCAGGGGCAATGAGGGGACTTAGCTCAAGTCTGTCATTGTCCGCCCTGCACTGGGGACTCTGTCCCAGGAAATGACCCCCTGAAATGAAATTAAAAAGTCACTAGACTGGGCATAAGATAGGACCACAGAGTAAACAGAAGATAACCCAGCCTAGCCCCAGGGGCACCAAATAAGGGACTCCCACCTGGAGAGTGGCTCTCCAGCGTGACTCACGTGTCATACGATACAAGAGGATGTGTGTGCAAGATGGTCAAGAGGAAAGGACAACACAGTGGTGGAGGCACAATGGTGCAGCCAGAGAGACCTCAGGAGTAAATTCTGTTCTTCTCAGACTGATCCAGCCCAAGAGGAACTACCTCCCACTGTCAGCGCCCCAATCCACCCCTCTCTTCACATGTCCTGTCTCTGGTAGAGTCATCCAGCTCTCTTTTTTCCCTCCACCCTATAGAACCCGATTTTTGCCAGGCATACGCTCACCCAGAATAAAGACTACATTTCCCAGTGTTCCTTGTGGTCAAGTGTGGCCGTGTGGTTAATTTCTAGCCAATGGGATGTGAGCAAAGTGAACTTTATGTTCCACTTCCTGGTCATGCTCTTAAAGAGACAGCATGGGTGTTCACCTTCTCTCTCCTCCTCGCCTCATCCTGGGGAATGCAGACCTGATGGGAGCCACCCTGGACCAGGCAGATGAGGGCAAGATGCCAGGGATGACAGGGGCCATGACACCTTCACGGAGCACAGCTGGCCCTACAACCCAGATGTCTATGGGAGAGAAATAAATGTCCACCCTGTGTGTGTGTTATATGCGCTGTCACTCATTGTGTCTGACTCTTGGCGACCCCACAGACTGTAGCCCGCTGGGGTCCTCTGTCCATGGAATTTTCCAGGCAAGAATACTGGAGTGGGTTGCCATTTCCTTCTCCAGGGGATCTTCCTGACCCAGGGATCGAACTTAAGTCTCTTGTGTCTCCTGCATTGGCAGGAGGATTCTTTACCACTATCGTCACCTGGGAAACACCCCGTTTAGTCAGTTATTTTGAGTCTGTCCTATGCAGCCCACTCTATGTCCCAACTAAGAAACCATCTAGACTGATGGTCACTCTGACCCCTCACCTCCCAGGCCAGTACCTGTGAGTCTCAATAGTTAAGCCCCAACCATTAAAAATAACCACAGCCGCCAATTTCTTGGTGTTTCTCCTCACCCATATTTCTTCATGGACCACCCCTGCCCCCCAGAAAAACAACATCACAATTCCAGATTTACAGCTGAAAAACAGTGAGACTCAAAGAAGTTAAGCAATTTGCCAAGATCACACAGCTAGCAACCCAGAGTACCACTATTCAGAGACCAGCAGACTGGAAAATCCATCCTCCTAGTGTCTGCCCTTCTGTGCCTCTCTCAAAGCCACGCCCTCCTCTCCATCACCCTGGGCCTGGCTGCCAAGTCCATCCCTTCCCACCTCATGGCCTCCGCTCTCCCCCCAGCAAGGCAATCTGAGGGCATCACCACCACCCTGATTAAGCTTGTGATGGCTCCCCATTGCCTCCAGGCAAAGGCAGCTGTCTCACCGCACAGTGATGTTTAGGGGCCCTGGTACCCGGCCCCAGACCAACCCCTCCAGACCACCCTGACCCTCACTGACTAGCTCCTTCCCACTCCTGACATTTCCTACTTATCACGCCAGACACCCAGAGCCCCTGCCATGGGGCTGGCACCATGCCAGGCCCTTGGCCCCACCAGGGCCCAGAGAGGGCGGGGCTGCATGCCCATTTTACAGGAGAGGAGCCTGAGGCTCCAGCAGATGGGTGACTCAGCCAGGGACCCACAGTCAGGGGTCCCCGGACTGGGGACTCAAACCCGGATTGTCCATCTTGCGTGTCTATTCACTTCCCAGGTCGTCTAATTCAGGAGCGAGTGAGGCCCCAGCTGACACCAGGCTGTAGCCACATTACGTGTTGGGCGGGGGAGGTGGGAATACTTTGGTCCCAGGACATGTGATAGAAGGCTCAGAGAGGTGAGGTGACTGTCAAGTGTGCACAGCTGGGGAGCACCCCGGAGGACTGAAGCCAGGAGCCCGGACACCCCTGGATGAGCCCCCCTTGCACCCCAGGAATCGTAGGTCTGTACGTGGAAAGTGCCAGGCTGCCCCTTCCTCCTGCACAAACTTGGTTGAGTCCCAGCCTCCTCCTGGACACAGGGTCCCGGACAGGTACAGATGGAGGCCGGCAGCTCCATGCACCCTCTGGGCCTCCTGAGGGAGGAGGTGTCCCAGGCAGGGTGCTGTGTGTGCGCGCAGGGTGGTGGACGGGGAGCACCAGGCTGGCACCCTCCCCTCTCAGCACTCAGCTCCCCTGTCGGACCTCCAACCCCTAAAGCGTCCCCACTTTCTGGGCTGGGGTCAGGAGGATCTATGCTTAGGGCCTCTGCGAGCCAGTCCCGGGCAGACCTCTGACCCCCAGCCTCTGCGTGAGGAGGGGGCTGTCGGGAGGCAGAGACCCCACCATCTCCCAGCTCCTCCCACAGCTCAGGGTCCTGGGGGGCCCTCGTCCCCATGGGCAAAGAGTCGGACATGACTGGGCAACTAACACATGTACACACAAGTAGCTTCAGTCGTGTCCGACTCTTTGTGACCCCACGGACTGGCCCGCCAGGAGCCTCTGTCCATGGGATTTCCCAGGCAAGAATACTAGAGAAGACTGCCATTTCCTTCTCCAGGGGACCTTCCCGACCCAGGGAAGGAACCTGGGTCTCATGTCTCCTGCATTGGCAGGCAGGTTCTTTATCACTAGCGCCACCTCTCTGAACTTGGTTCATAGCAAATGCTTCTCAATCCTTCCTTCTCTGGAGGACAGGACTCAGCTGGGTGCTAAGCACCTTTTAAATCTTCTCTGGAAAGGCCCTGGAGTGTTTCCTTCTCTTCAGGGCTGTGCCCTATGAACCAGGGCAGGCAGATCTGGGGCCTAGCGAGGGCAGGGGGGGCTGGAAGCTGCACCTATGTGACCCTCACCTACTCAGTGACTGCTGTGTCCGCTGCCCCTGGGGAGCCAGGGACAGAAATCTGCTCCTAGAGCTCAGCGTTCTAGGCCCACTGCCTGAGGTCAGCCAGCCAGCCAGCCAGCCAGCCATGTATTGAATCAATATTCTCTAAGCACCTGCTCTCCCCAGACCATTCCAGCCCCAGCAGCTTCAGGGCACCAGGGACACTCAGAGAAGTATTAACATGGTCCTTTGCTGACAGCAGACACATCGGCACATCATGATGACACCAGGCAATGCCTGCTCTAGGAGAGCTGTAGATCTCGTGTAGGGGGATCTCATGGGAAAAATTAAAATTAACACATGGGAGCAGAGGCTTACCAGAGAGGGAGAAAGCAGGCTGGGATTTGAGGCATGTGTAGGAGTTCATCCAGTAGGCAGAAAGGGACTGGATATTTGAAGCGGAAAAGTGTGAGGAATAATAAGAAAGGGGATGCTTGGTAAGGCTGGAAGGTAGGGTGGGCAAGGGGGCACCAGGGGAAGGCAGGTCTTCAGCCAGATGGGGAAGGGCCTTTGTCCCAGGCTGGCCCTGAAGTACGTTTCCACCAAGGAGCCTTTCAGAGGGAGCGGCCTGTGGAAAAGGCAACGTAAGCAGCTCTTCTCCCTCCCAGCCCATCAGAAAGCCCACGTCTTACCTGCATCATGGGATTCTAGCTATTCAGTTTCTTCTGGGGAACACAGGGAGAGGGGAGAGAATTGTGAAGAAGGAAGTTGGGGACTCTGGGTCAGGGGAGGGGCAGGATGCTGGTAGACTTGGGTAGTACTGTGGTCCTCCTAGGAGGACCCTGTCCTTCCAGTTCTGAGACCCAAGTCCCTGGGTCCAACCTAGAGAAGCAGCAAATCCACAGGTTCCAGATGTGGGGCCACCCCACTCCACCCCACCCAGAGGTGTAAGCCAGGCCTTCCCATCACCTGGACCCTTCCTCTGCAGACCCTGCTCCATTCACTCCTCCAGGGGCAAAGATCTCATCCCTCTGAGGGCCTGGAGGCACACAGCCTTCTGACACATTTTTCACAGATAGATAGTTTTTCCTTTGGCTGAGTTAGGTCCACTCTATAACTCTTCCACTCTCGCCCCAGTCCTGGCTCTGTCCACATGGGCCACAGAGAACAAGTCTGGTCAGTTTATCCCTGAAGGTTTCAACATTTCTGTCCCCAGTGGGAATAGCAGGGGCGACGGTCCAGAGTTGAGACAAGCTCAGCTGTTTCAGCAAAGAGGCAAACGGAAGCAGGGCGGTGGGGGGAGGCGTCGAAGAGGCAGAAAAAGCAGGTCTCCTTGGAGGCCAAACAGGCAAACCTCAAGAGTGGGCCTTCTCATTCTTGGAGCAGAAAACATGGGCTGAGGGAGGTTCTGGATGATGGGCAGGGAGCGCTGAGGTTTGCAGAAGGGAACAGCCAGGGGGGAGGACAGAGACCAAGGTGGAAATCAAAACTTTCCTCGTGACAACTCTGGCTCAAGCGGACAGGCTCAGGAGGCCACCCCAGCCTCCACCAGGGAGAGCAGGGGGACCCAGGGGGTGCCTGGAGCTGAGCCCAGGCCCCCCTCTCAGCATGAAAGGGCGGACAGTAGTGGCGAAGACCCTAGGGTGGGCCCCTGCTCTCCTGTCTCTCAAAGGAGGTGGGCCTGGGCCTGGTGACCTCCCTCCAAATCTTCCGGCTGCTGCTCAGAGCTCCAGGCCTCTGTTCCAGGCAGGACCTCACTGCTTGGGCTTGACCCACCCCACCCCGCCGCAGGCCCAGGAAGTGGCAGACACCAGTACCAGCCTCAGAGCCGGTCGTCACAGAGAGCCCAAAGCCCAGGTCACAGAGCTGATGTGGCCACAGAGCCTGGGACGCGAAGCCCTATATCCCCAGCCAAGCCTGCCCCTGCTGCCCACTCCTCAGCCTCCAATCACCTACTAAGTCTAGGTGACCCTTACACAGTTCCCCGAAGACCTCCCTCCCATCCTCCGGTGCCCAGCTCATGGACAGCAGCCCACCCCCACCGGAGCCCCTGGCCACCCCGGCTCCTCAGACCCATCCCTGCCAGCTCTCCATGTCCCTCCACGCTCCTGATGAGCAGTTCCGTCTGCCCAGTACTCTGGGCCAGAGGCCTGAGAACAGCCCCCAGCTCCGCCCGCAGCCCTTGTGCCAAGTCACAGAGTCGCGCTTGTTCTACCTGCTTCGTGACACCACCACCCTCACTAGACCTGAAGACAACATCTGCCGGGCCACTTCGAGGAGAACTTCTGCCCCTTGACTGTCCACCTTGTGTTCATAACTAACACTTTCACTCCACTATGCACCTGCTCAAGAACCATCTGTGGCTCCCTACGGCCTGCAGGATCACACTGTCACTCCTCAGCCTGCCTTTCTGGCGATATCTCTTGCCACTGTCTCTCATGTATTTGTGAGAACTTTGATTTGCACACCACTCTCTCCACACATTTGCTCAGGCTGTTCTCACA